ATAGAAAAAAAGATAATAAAACAGCCAATCATGTATCAAAAATATTTTTTTGTTCGTATTTTTTAGAATTATGGGCATTCTATCTATTTATCATTTATTTATTTAATTTTATATTATTAATTTTCTTGTAAATATCTGTTAATTGGGTGTGGGTAAAGAAGTGGTATATGAACATACACGCAGATCCAGCCACACCCGCACCCACACCCACACCCGCACCGACACCCACACTCACACTCACACCTACACTCACCCACACACTTTATGGAAGAAGTAGCGTCAAATCATCAGTTCTTTTTCTTTTACTTTAATATTTTCTTGTGAGAGGAATCACCATTTTTTTCTGTTTCAACCAATCCAATGCTACTTTAAGAGATGAAATGCATGTAAAGAAAAGAAAGTAGATTCATTATTTTCTCTTTAGTTAGAAAAAAGAAGATCGGATTGTGTCAAACAACGTGTACTCGGTAATAATTCTTCATATAACTAACACTTCGTGAGTACTACCACAAATGTAAAGTGAGAGATATTTGCTGCTGACCGGTAGTTCTAAGCGTTTCTTTCATTAGTACATTGACAAAAAAGATTTAAAATTCATTAACAATCGCAAAACCTTGCTTTCTCCAAAATATCCCATTATCTCACCTTTCTAACTTCTGTCACTATTCAAAATAGTGTTATTCTGGCTTCTTATGCGAAATTGATCGTAAAAACAAGATATGATCACTACAATAATAGCGTCTGGAGGTTATGAATTTTTTTTTTGGTTTGTACTGTTTTATTGTGACGCTCGTAAGCGCTTACAAAAAAAAGAGGAAGAAGAAAGAAACGAAAGAAGGAGAACAAAAAAGCAGGGAATCCATAGAAGGAACAACCAAGGAACAGAGAGAATGGATGGAGAACAAGGCACAGAACAAGAAACAGAAAGTTATAGTGAACAAAACATCTACAATAACAAATTCAGAACAAGATGTTAGGAATGGGGGTAGATGATTACGAGGGCTGATTTATGAAATCCAGCCAGGTAAGGAGCAATGAATGATGTCTAACTTTCAAGTTCGTGATCCGTCACATGGGGAAAAAATGACCCACGCAGTCATTAGTCATTTTACGGTAATTATCCCAGAAAAATATGTCATCTAAAAATAGCGAGAAGCCTAAGTCTGATATATATATTCCCTCGACTGTAGGGAAGGGCATGTGAAAAAAAGTGAAAAGAGTTTGTGTGTTTATTTGTTGCAAGGTAGAAAAAACATCAGAAGGAAACTTTAATCAGATGTACCTTCTAAGGTTTCAATACAGGATATCGAGGTCGAGAAATCTGATTTGGAGGACGGATTTTGAATCTGATCTTTCCATTGGCTAGAAAGTCGACCGATCAGATATGAGCTTTTTCATTTTAAGCTTTTCGCACGTTTTCATGAAACTGTACTGGAGGTTATCGACGACCAGGATTGTGAATCCGAGATCGGATTTCGCGTCTAATCTTCCCATTGGCTAGAAAGCCGACCGATCAAAAACGATTTTTTTACTAAGAAAATTACGATAGTTTAGAAAGGTTCAGGAAAATAAATCGGGATCGTAAAATTCGCCTCTGCAAACGATTTCTCAAAATTTCAAGCTCTTATTTTTACGGAAAATTCGTTTTTATAAACAAATCGTGGTCTATGCCCATAACTATTTTGTGAAACACGATCTAAAAGGAGTGTTGAAGTGTATAGGGTAGAAATCTGCCCCCACCCCCACCCCCATCCCCACAGACCGTGACAGAGAAAATCCATACCCGTCACAGACTGACAGAGAAACCCAGTACCCATGACAGACCGTGACAGAGAAATCCAATACCCGGCACAGACCGTGACAGAGAAATCCAGTACCCATCACAGACCGTGATAGAGAGGCTCCAAAGATGATTACAGAGCGTGACAGAGAAAATCCAAATTCCTTCATTCACAATATAAAAAGCTCCATCGTGTTTCACATTTTTAATCCTGCAGGGATTGCGCAGAAAGCTTTTTCTAGGGATAAACCAATTTTTTCCTGAAAATAATCGTATGAAAAAAATAGAACTCAAAATTTCGAAATCTCGATTGCGCATTCAGATTCTTTGAGCGTAGTTTACTTTCGTCGACCTCTACACAATATAGTTATTTTGTCAAAAAATCCTTCCTTGGACCGACAGATACAAATCAAAATAGCAAGAAATCAATTGTAGATTGAAATTCTCTCGCCACGGCCTACTTTCGCCAACCTATATGAAATATCGTTATTTTCTCGAAAAGCACTTTCGCTCGTGAAAATTGGCTTGGACCAGTAACCGTACCTACGGTTATTGTCATCGTTGCGGGTGGGGGTGAGGGTGCAGATGGCTAAGGTGTGAGTGTAGGTGTGACTTTTTGGATGTTGGTGTGGTGCGCCGGCTCGGATGTACGTGAATGTGTCTGTAAGTGTCGGTGTCGTTGAGCAGAGTATCTGCATACCACTCACGCCCACACCTACATTTTACACTCATACGCATATTCACACTCTCATGTGCAGCACACTCATCGATTCCGATTTATTCAGTGTTTGTTGCGTCTAATACTTTGTTTATGTTTCTTTTACATATTAAAAATCAGTGGCTAGATACTCAGTACAATGCTCAGTATTTTTGTTACCTTGTTCTGAAAAATTTCAAATACTAAGTCCCTTTTTGTAGTACAAGTAGATTTACTTGTACTGAAAAAGTGTACTTAAGTGCTAGGCACTGAGCACAAATGTACCTAAGCCCATGCCTACTTAGTATTGGTACTCAGTAGCAATGTAGTTAAGTACCTTACTAGTACAATTGTGAATACTTCGGTACCGATACAACCGATAATATATTTTAGTACCGGTTGTAAATATCGGTGGTGTTAAGTGAAGATTGCTATTTGACATGCTTACACCATTCGAATTTCGTTTTAATTAAGAAGCTCTCGCTGCGTATCAAAATTTGTAATGGGTTCGGGGAGAATGACGCAAAACAGTTGGATCGCTTGGTCCATATCGGTTTTTACTGATTAGGAAAAATGGTCAATATATATATATATATATATATTGCCTTGATAAAACGCCTTTAGGCAAAAGTTTTATACTCTTATCAAAACAAAATAAGAGCACCGCTTTTAAATATCATTTATCTATTTTTTCCTAGCCATCACTGTTTTATGTCTCTCCTATTATATGAACTTGGTCTCTTCATTTAATGTAGGAGGCTTTGTCAGAGGTCAAGCGTAATCTTATATGTTTATATCTAGAATAAGTAGTAGCTTGAGGGTGTGGGTGGTTGTGGATCTGCACCTCCTTTACATTCACACACCCACCCAAATCCACAGCCACAGTCACAGCCACACCCAACATCCACACACCCACAGTCATATTTGGGAAAATATGCATTTTTTAATAAAAGTCGAGTTTTTTTTGGAAACACAAAACCGACAATTGGGAAAACACTTGTTTTATGTACAATCAATGAAGCTCTATCAAATGCACGACTCAAAGATTCTTCGTCTTCACTTTTATTTTTTTCGATATTTTACATCAAATCATACAATATCAGCGCAATTCACTCATCTATGTTTGCTCTCTTTCTGTCGTTGAATAGATTATGATTCAATAGTCCATAATAGTGCTTGCACGTCAATCATCTATAACAATAAAGCAAAATCTATTGAAAGGCTGACCTGTACAGCATGAGTGTAAATTTTCTCACAGGCTATGTGGGAACTCAGGGTGTTGATCGCCCGCCAATGCAAGTATGCCCCGTATACTCTTTGATTGGCAGCTCCATTTCATCGGTATTGAGTCACTGCGAAAAATCATTATTCAATCACTGTCACCCTTATCCACCATTATTGGCATTCTTTACGCAGAGGATCATACAAGAACGAAAAAATTTTTGCTTGTTTATCACCACTATTTTGTTTAGAGAACGACAGAAAAAAAATCATTGGATTTTTCTTTCTTCTCTATATGTTGTGCAATGACTTTCAACACGTGTGAAAACATTTGGCATTTATAAAAATATTCCTCAGACTGCGTTCATTCTCAGCCAAATGACGTCGAAAAAATCTAAAATCGATGAATTATTGAAAAAGACTGACAATACGATTCTTAATCCTAGCAATTCAACCAGCAGCCAAACCGCCAACTATTTTTCCAATTGGAAAGAAACAGATAGAATTGATTTTGCTTGTTTGGAAAAAGGATTGCTATTATTCATTTATGTTTATGAAACATCCGAATGTGCTCTGGCAACAGAAATGCTTTTCTGGGATCGTCGACTCTGTGTCGACATGATCACAACGGAAAAATGTTCGAAGTCTTCGAATCAATGCCGTTATGAACATCAAACTTCATATCGACAAACAAATCTTTGTCCACAATGGTACACCAATAATCGATGCACTTTTGGCGAGAAATGTGAAGATTCTCATCGATTAGAAGGAGTACCAAATGAACATCGTTATATCCGCACAGAAACCGATGCTAATGTGTTTAAACTACTTCGATTCATTCGTAATTTTGCTGGACATTATATTGAATCTGTTATTCATGATCAACAGGAACTTTACAAGAATGTTCTGGTTGTTATGGTACATTTGGTACATGCTTTAAGTCGTAAAAATGCTGGATCTATCGAACATCTCAATTTGTTCTTAGAGAAAAGTGCTGTGAATCAAATGATTACAGAAGAAAATCTTCTTCCTGAACTCGACAAACCATTCAGTGTACCAGCAATATTCTTTGATCGTCGTCTTAATTATAGTGCAGCTTGGTATCGACCGACTGGAAATAAACGAGATCTGAAATTCAATCAATTATCGCAAGCATTTGTGACTTATTTTAATAGAATCTTTGTTGAATACTATCAAGGACGTCTTAGATCACGCGGTGCAAAATCAGCATGGTCTTAATCAGGGTTGCCAAACTTCCTGATTTGACTAAGAGACTCCTGGTTTTTAAATTTTTCTCCTGATGAAAATTTTTCTGAATTTAGAAGCTGATTTATAAGATTTTCTTCTGATATCTCTTGTTTTTTAATTCTTTTTCTACTTCGATTTTAACGAGGGTGTGGGGTGCCGTCGAAGGAGCAGAATAAGATACCATTGGTGCCAAAGCTTATTTTGATCTCGATTCTTTACATTATGATGAGGAGCATATCTTTTTCGAAACAGGTTTTATGGCAGTTACCAATTATTTGACTAAACATATCGCAGATAATATTTGTTTGAAATAAATTGTTACAAAAATCACTTATAATGAACAATTAGTTGAAGTATCGACTAGAGATGGACAAATTTATCGCGCAGAATTTGTTTTTGTAACAATTCCATTAGGAGTGCTAAAATCTAAACAAACTGAATTTAGTCCTCAACTGCCACAATGGAAGTTAAATGCTATTAATCGAATAGGTTTTAGTATCTATGAAGAAAACTCCTTATTATGGGATCGAGTCTGATGGAATTCTTCAAATTTTTATTTCGTACGGCCTTTGGTTGAACCTACTGAATTCAGATATTGATGTAGTTCGAATAAATGGAATAATAAACCAAAAATTACATGCATATTTGCGGCCAGAGCAGGTGTTGAATCAAAATCGAAATAAAACCAAGAACAAATAGTCAATGACATTCGAAACACTTTGCAAAAATATTTCTTAGTATAACTGTTCCTTCGCCTATGAAAATCTACATGGCTAATTGGAATGAAAACTGATTCTTTCTCGGATCATATTCTTACATTTCGTTGAAACAAAAATATGAAGATCGCTTTTATTTATCTGGACCAATTAACAATCGTTTGTTGTTTTCTGGTGAGGCTACAAGTACCGATAATTATGGATACACTCATGGAGTTTTGCTTATAGTGCACGACGAGAAGTTACACAACTTTTGTTTGTTTATGATTTTTTGACCAAACAGAATATAATTATTTCACAATCGTCAATAATTACACCAACAGAAGTATTCATCCTTATTAATTTTATCTATATTCTGTCTCGTTTGTAATGAAAATGTTTTTCTTTTCTTTTTGAATCTTATATTATTATACATGCATGAACTTTTTAATTATTTTTTAGCGGCAATTTATTTATTATTTATAGAAATTCAGAAAGTGAAATTAAACACATTTACAATTTATCTTTCTGTCAGGTTGATCTAGATGGTTGAATTCAATATTAAGGTTAAAAAGAAAACTATAGTCTTGAGGAACTCTTATAACAGACAAATGTGAGTATGACACTAGCTAATGAGTTGAACACTCACACTCTCAAGATTGTTAACGAGGAAGCCATCCAACGACGTCATTTTATATACCAAAAAAGAATTATTTAGTAACTCATTTTCTTGTACATGTTATTGCATATGATCTATGTAATTACTGACTCACTTTATTTATTATTTTTCTGTTCTGTTCTGTTCTGCACATTGTTTGCAAAAAAAACACCTATCATGTGCAAGAAAGTGCATCATGAATATTTCTTCTTCAATATCTAAAAACGCCGCCACTATATGACGCCTTCGATGTCTACTTTCGAAACATTACCCGATGAAATTTTAATGATCATTGTAAGATATTCTGGCAACGCTTATACTGTATTTCGGACATATGGTGGATTAAATCAACGTTTGAATAACATTCTTGTCGATAGACGTTTGTATCTGTTCACTGAACTATTATACACAAACATTAATGATCCAGATATAAAGTATTATTATAATTCTAATTCGTTTCACGAAATATGTCATCAGTTCGCATCTTTGAACACAACACAAGATGATAAACAACTTCATCGATGTCTTCAATCATTAATTGCGTCGTATATCAAAGAAAAATACAATCGACTGGGACATGAATTTCAATCAAGTCTGAAACAATTTCAATCTATACGTACGCATCTCACTGCTACTGAAATCAGTAGTCTTGATCATGAATTGAAGAGAGCGTTTAAATATTTACCAGTTGACTTATGTCCACAGGATCCATATTGTGCATGGGAGCCATATTTCCCTTCCGAATCGATCATGTATATGAAACAAGTTGAGTCTCTTGTTCTTATCCAAGGTGCTAGTCTTGAATGTAATAATGATGATGAACAAGAATTTAATTTTACTAAGGCATTAAATAAATGGTTACTAGCAAAAGCCAATCTCACTCAATCTGATGATCAACAACTAATCAATCCTCTTATTCAACTGTTCCAAGTATTACTAATTTCCAATCCAATGCTTCTCGCAAATAAAGGCTATACTCATTATACCACGAAAAGTCGTTGTGCACATTATTTTCTATTATACTCAATTTATCGATTAAGGTATGTTCATGATCCGAACCCTTCACCACGTAAATCTATCAAAATACACTGGTATAAAGCTTTGCTCAATCTATTCCTCTTTGTTATCCACTGTATAAAATATATATTTGATGAAGAACTTTGTTTGGGAGAAATTCTTTTGGATATTGTAAGCATGACCAAATTGACTGAACCTTCCATTCCTGATGAAATATTTATTTACACAACTCAAATAGAAATATTGAGAATTATACTTCATGAATACGATCTAACAGACATAACATCATCTGATAAACATGGTGTCTCTTCACAAGTTCTATGCAATTTGTTCAAGAATAATCAGCTAAATATAATCCAAATCATTTATAGTGAGAGTGAACATACACGAAGTTTATTCCATAAGTCCAAGACTACTCAACAAATTGTCGATATTATGACTAGAGATCGAAAGACAAGACAATTGTTTCAAATTTTTTTGAGTGATGCGCAATTCAAAACGTGGTTGACAAGCTCAGATCTGTTGTTCATTTTATTACAAAAGAAACAATATAAACTTGTAAAACACATATTAAAATTATCACCATTACTTGTTCATCGATTAGATGAAGATGGCAATGATGCATTACTTTATGTTTGTCTCAAAGTACGTGGTTGCCGACATCGTCTAGTTGAATTTTTAATCAAGATAGGATGTGATTTACAAAGAAGAAATTCGAAAGACGAAAATTTTATCGATGCATTACAACTGGCACGAAATAGGAAACTGTTAGAAAAATTAATCGAACACGAAACTATCCAAATTGATCATGTTTCTGCAGAAATAGAAGTTATTTTGGCTAACCAACCGCAATGACGTCAAACGAAATGTTTTTCATGAGGATGAGGGTGAGGGTGGAGTGAGTTTACATAAAAGATTTGATTCAAGCTATCATGCCTGTCGTCGTGAGACGGGTGTGGGTGTGGGGTGTGGGTGGGTGTGTGAGTGTGTGGGTGTGGGTGGGTGTGGGTGTGGATGTTGGTGTTGTGTTCGTCTTATTTCCACCCACACCCACACTCACACCCATTCTAATTTTTGATCTCGACCGAGATATCTATAAGACGATTCTATGCAAAAGATTTCAGAACAATCGATCTTTATTCTCAAAAATTATTGTGTAAACGACCAGACGGATACATCGACCGATTCTAGAGTGCCATATGATTATATTTGAGTTATCTGAATCCAAATGGCGAAGATTCTTTGCCTTTTAGGTACACTCGACAAACATTTCTATTCAAAATGCTGAATGCAGCCTTTTTGACTCAAGATATATCGATATTATACAAATTTCACTTTTTTATCAAAGATTTGCATATGGATCTGGAACAACTGCATAGTTTATACAAACCATCAGTAGAATCACGAGTTTTTACTGTTTATCGTGGATTGAATATGTCCTTGACAGATTTCGAGCAAAAAATACGTGGCGAAAAAGAGAAGTTAATTGCTTTTGATAGTTTTCTCTCGACTAGTTTAGACGAAAATATAGTCAAACAATTTGCTTTGGATAAACGAGATCCCAAAAAGGAATCTGTCGTTTTCTCTATTGAAATCGATGCTGATCGAATGGAACGCCCATACGCTGATATATCTCGTTGGAGTGACTTTAAAAATGAACGTGGAGTTCTTTTCTCAATCGGAACCGTTTTTCGAATCGATGATGTAGCAGATCAAAAAATAAGTGATGGTATTTGGATGGTTCGCTTAAGTACTGTCAGTGAGAAAGATAAACAATTACAAAAGGAAATCCAGCAAATACGATTGACTCTATTAAAATTTTTCGAAAATGTACTTCATGCTCAACGTGACGTCAAAGATGATCGAAAAATTCCTGCTAGCAATGCTAATGTAGCAAGTATGTATTATAAACAAGACGAATACGAGGGTAGCTTACTATTCTATGAAAAAGCCTTGACGACTTTAAACAAGTTAGAATCATCCGATCCATTAACAAAGGCAACATATATCAGTAATGTTGCTAAAGCACATCTGGCATTGAAGCACTATGATAAAGCTCTAGAGTTTTATAAAGAACCTTTGGATATTCGTCGTCACAAATGTGAACCCAATGACCCATCATTAATTCATACATTACATACAATCGGTCATATTTATCGTGGAAAAGAAAATTGAAATGCAGCTCTCGAACAATATGAGGAAGCATTGAAGCTACAACTCTTGTCTCTCGAATCTCACCTTTTGTCAGATCCCTCATCCATCGTTGTTACTTATATTTGTATTGGTAATATTTTTCATCATCAAGAGTAGTATCAACAGGCACTAAATTCGTTTTTAAAAGCGTTCAAACAGCAGCACGAGCATTTGTCGAAAGAACATCCTGTTTTAGCATTTTTATATAATAATATTGGTGCGACGTATTATAAAATGAAACAATACGATCTAGCTCTGGAAAATCAACTGAAATGTTTGGAAATCGAATCAAAGGCGCTACCAAAAGAGCACAAAACATTTGCTGAAACGTATAAGAACATTGCCACAACCTATGAAAAACGTCGACAGTTCGATCAAGCAATTGAATTTGCTCAGAAATGCATTGATCAATTAAAATCCTTGAATTCAGAAGATAGTAAAGAGCTCAATGGCATGATGAATTTCCTCAATAGAATTCAAGTAAGTCGAGACAATAGAAAATAAAGACATTCATTGCCGTTTTTCTTGCTCTTATTTTGAAGCGTTTTAGTGAAAAGAATGTTTCTATGCGAATACAAGAATGATAATAAAAAAAGCCATCTCCAAAAGATATAAAAGACAAAAACAAACAAACAAAAAGTCGTGCAAAAATTTAAATACATATATTAAAAAGCACTTTTCACGTGTTGAGCTTTGATAACAATTTTCATTTGTGGGTGTGGGTGGGTGTGTGGATCCCTACACGAACTTCTTTCGGTCTGCGCGGGAGATACTTCAGAATTTTGATCAAGAAAGTCATGCGCTATGGACAAAACTTGAGGCAAGACGTGAGACTTTATAGCGAGCTCAAGCTCTTGAACTTCTTATTCTATCGCTTGATATTTTTGCTCATGCGCTTGAATTCTCATCCAAGCGTTGCTGTTATTACGGAACTTTTTTAATTTTTTTTTCAATTTTACGTTCAAAAATAATTCTCCTAGGCGAACTTTTTTTTCATGGTCTTGACCTACGCAGACTTCATGTTTTGTCCATAGCGCATGACTTTCTTGCTCAAGACAAGCGCGTGAGTGTTTGTATGAGTTACAAGAAACTGATGCGTTCAACTCAAGAAAATACAACGATGAATTTTTATTCAAAGTTGAGTTATTTTTGAACGTAAAATTGAAAAAAAACTAAAAAAGGGTGTGGGTGTCAGTGCTAAGAAGAGGTGCATCCATATCTCACATTCATATTCACACCCACATCTGCACCCCACACCCACACCGACACTCACACACCCCACCCACACTCACAAAAGGGAATTCAGCTGCATTTCGGATTTACTTTTCTATATTTATTATAGTGATCAATAACAAGTATTTTTAATCCAGATATCATGTACATCATGTTGTTTGACTGTCAAAATACTGTTTTTTTGTTAGAATCTATTATTTTGAAACTTATAATTAGTATGAACTACTATGGGAGCAGATGACATAAAGTTTTCAGCTAAAATAATAATTTTATCATTTTGTGAAAATATAATTTGTTCTTGTTTATCTGGATTTAAAACAATTCCAAAAAATCTTGTTTTATCATGTGAATATTGCATTAATCTATAACCAATTGCTAAACATTTATATTTTAATGTTTCTTGTAAAATTTGATAATAACTAATTGGTGTTCCCAGTGGAACGAACATTGATGCTAAACATAAATAAATCTCAGGACCACCAGCTGTTAATAAAACATCATAAACTTTATTTATATTTTTATTTTCAGATAATTGTGAAATATATTTTGATATTAAATTTGGACTAACAATAAAATCATCGGCAGATATTGTATTTACTAATTGACGATTACGTATATCATACATTTCTGTTACTAAATTGAATGTTTTTTCATTATTTGATCTATCAATAATATTTTGTAAGTGTAATAAACAAATTAAACATTCAGCATCAGTTTCTTCAATTAAATTTTGTTGTTCACTTTCTTCATTTGCTAATAATATAATATAATGATAAGAGAATAAGTTTAATTTTTCTAAATCAAATTTATTTGTCAAACTTCCAGAATGTACAAATAGTTTTTGTTCTGTTAATTCATTAACCAATTGTTGATTTATAAATTGTGTTATTTTATCAGAATTTGTCAATATATGTAGTTCACTACCACGAGCAACATAAGTATCCAATTCTTTTGCAATTAATGGGGCTTTATTATTCCATCCGAGTATAAGAGTTCGTTCAATTCTTTTTGTTGTTTCTCTAGTCATAGATTTTGCTAATAAAACTGTATTATGATTAGTTACTGATGATGATGTTGATCCTGAATATTGATTATTAATACGTAATAAATAATTGGATGATAATATAATTTTATCATCATCTTCAGCGATAACAATAATTTGATCATCAATATTTATTATTGTATTTAATGGGGGAATTATTTTAACTGTTCCATCGGATAACATTAGTCCAATCACTGAACATTTATTATATGAAAATACAGCATCATAAAATGTTCTACCAACAAGTGCATTTTCATGTTTAAAATAAATTTCATCACCTTGAAATGATAATAAAGTTGTTAATATTATATTTAAACCACTTTGTCGACATGATTGAGCTATAACACGTGCAATCATTTCATCAGCATAGACAAATAATACTTCATTTCCGCCTAAAACAAAAACAACTATTTTATTTGTTATCATCAAACATTTCTGTGAACAAAACAAAATTATTCGTTTTATTATTCACGTGACATTGGACAAATATTTATGTATTCGAGCAAATTACTTACTCTAGATTTAGACATCAGTTCTATTCATGATTAAAGTTATGCTTGAATAAGGCTTGTGCATGCATACGTATAAACGATTTTTCTCGTTAATCATGAATCGCAGTATATACATGCATGAATTGTTCTGTCTAAACGCATATGCATGCACAATCCGTTAATCATGCATTCAACTGAGATATAAGAGAACCATATATTGCATTTATCCTTCGAATTAGACAATATACCTTCGCGTTACTTCGACTTTGAATCATTTTCCGACCTTCTTGATTTTGATCGCCATTCAACCGCTTACTACTAATTGAATCCCCATATCATAAATACCGGACAGTTTTTAGTGCTAAACCGCCGGTTTTCATCCGGTTTTTATCACATGGGTCTTCCTTCAATGTAATGAGCAATAGATTCGTTCCTAAATCTGAGCACGAGGTTCTTTTCTTGCCAATAGTATCACTATTGCTAGCCATTTTGACTCTAGTATCGTCAACAAGAGATCTCATACTGAAAACGTCCGAAAATATTTGTTTAACTCTTTCAACTACGACTATGTAAAAATGTTGGGTATAAAAGTTGCATCTGAGATCTAGAAAATTAAATGAAAGAAACAAAAGAGTTATTTTTTAATAGAATAATAGCTTGGGAAAAGATTCAGAATAGTTTCACCGTAGACAACTCAAGTCCAATCAGATCATGAGCCTCCTTTGTGATTTCATACACCACGAGCGATATGTTTAGACGACAATCAGACATTAATATGCATGCATAGTGCTATGTATGCACAGAGTTGTGTACATTGAATACGTGCATAACTTTAATCGTGCATAAGGCGTTATTCAAGATTAAGCGCGCATTTAGTCGACGAGTTATACATGCATAGCAATGCACAATCGTCTTAATCATGCATAAGAGCGTCGTATAAACATGCGGTGTTATATAAAAACAAGATAAGTAACATTTGTAAAAAAAAAAGCTGTTAATGTAATCCCTACGGGATGAAAATGTGAAACACGAACAATCCGTTCAAGTAGAAGGAAAATCGTCTACCACTGTACAACTGAAGGTCAACTTCATTCTTATCTGAAAGTACATGGATGGATCTGTTTAGTTAGTTTCTATACACAAGATCAAAAGGTCACAGATGTAGAATGAGAGAAGCAGCCTTTTCTCCTAAAATATTTGTCTGTTTGAAATCTATTTCTCACTGAATAGTTTTTGAAGCGAAATGGAAAAGACGCCAAAATCATCAATCAAGAGAGAATAAGAAACCGAGAGTGGAATAGAAAAAAGGAACGTTAGCCATCTGATATTGATGCGTCAATCATAACTACCCCGTGCCAAAACTTAGTTTCTGAGATTTCTGTCGCGATCTGTGACGAAAAACGGCTGGTTCCTATGCTGTCTGTCCTTTCAGTTCGTGTTTCACAAAATATTTAAATCTATAAAAATTAATAAAAACCTGCCACTCTTGCCGCTTCTAAATTAATTCGTTCTTTTAATTCAGCTACAATATGAAAATTGATGGCATTTTGTCGTGGATTATTTCTAATTGCTAATATTGTTTTTATTATTCTAACATCAGGATTGTTTATTTCCGATGCCAGTATTATTATTGATCGTGCTTGATTAAGACTCAATTTATTTAAATCATTGATCTAAAATTAATAAAACATAATGTAATCATTTATTTATGATATTTAGATATAAACAATAAAATAGAAAATAAAACAGAAAATTCTGTTCGACATTCATTATTACCCAAGAGACACAGCAAATTATCAGATGAGCATTATCCAAAAAAACAAGTTCGAATCAATTTTTTTCTAGTATTCGGTTAGAATTTTTGGAAAAAAACTGGTTTTTTAATTATTAGAGTACTTGGAAAATACTCTTTAACTGAATTTTTATAGTCTACACGATGAGTGAATAAGGGAGGGAAAATGGAAAGGCACGCTGCGGTCGCAATATTATTATTTTTTCATTGTCATACTATTAGCAAAAGGGAGAGACAAAAAGAAGAACATTTGTCAAAAAAAAAAATAATTTTTTTGTATTTTTTTTTACCTACCGACGTTGGATCACCATTTCTATAAATAATTTTTGTATTTTTTGAATCATTTATTTTATTTTGAATTATATATTGAATTTCACTACGATTTTTTGATGTCAAAATAACAATTGAAGGATTACGTTGACTT